CATGACTAATGATATTTCCCGTTTATAATTTTACATCGGTAAACACTGTCGTCAGCCGCTAGAAAATACGTTTGAACTCTGCTTTATTTGTACGTTTTCTTACATTATAGAACACGTGTACAATGTCCTTTAAATAATAACAAAAACAGTTTTGCCTGGAAAATAGTATTGTTGTACGTGAGGTTATGATTGGCACTATTGATTACACTTTTCACATTTGTAGTGACAAATCATGAAAACGTGACAAATATGGTGTTGGTGATTAAGTTGACTACGCGTATCATGGATCGTTAAGAATTTGTAAACCATTTGCTTGTTTGTTTTTAATTTCGCGTAAAGCTACACAAGAGCTATCTACGCTAGCCGTCCTTAATTTAGCAGTGTAAGGCTAGGGGGGAAGACAGCTAGTCATCACCACCAACTCTTGGGCTACTCTTTTACCAACGAATAGTGGGATTGATCGTCACATATAACGCCCTCACGGCTGAAAGGGCGAGCATGTTTGGTGGGACGGGGATTCAAACCCGCAGATTGCGAGTCGAGCGCCCTAACCACCTGCCCATTCCGGGCCGCTGTAAACTATTAAAAAAAAGTTTCGTTTGTTTACCACTAACTTGTGACCAAAAGCAATAAATAATCCACCTAGATCAGAACTAAAAATTAACCGGTGAACACCTATACATACCGTAATGACTGGGGGTATATTCACCCCACCCCCTGAGGGGAGGTATCGGTAACTGCGTAACTTTCAAGTTCCAGAAACAAAATAGTCATCCGTATGTCTAACAGCACGTGGTGCGTGTGAACTTGCACAATTTAAGGCTGCGCGCGCTCTCGCGAGCGAGAGGACACGCTGAAACCTCGAGGCGTAACCCTGTTACCTGAATCGCGACCCCGAGTAATCATACAGCGTATATACAAACAGGACGAAACTTTTAGCGTCCCAGACTTCATTAATTTTCCAGCCGTTATATATATCGAAATGGGTAAGAATATTTATATTTTAAAGCTTTTCTGAAACGACTTTGTTATTGGTTAGAATAAAAGCTGCAGTAAAGTCATAGCTTGGTCATACCGTATAAGTTCACAACAAATATATACGAAATATCTGTGTAAACTAAATGAATGTAAAGCCTAATGGTGATATTACATTTTTTTTTAGTTAAAATAAGATTGAAAACATAATTTGTGACGTAGAGGCCTAATATATTCTTTGATTCGCCCATTTAAGGTTAATCAGTATAGCTTTGATTATAAAACCATGGGAAAACTTAAACATTATATACCCCCCGCCATTATAAAAAAAAAATCTTACTGTTTTTGTCTTATTTGGATAACGTGAAACTTGTGTGTATCAGTAAAACGTACTTTTCTTGTTGGACTATATTATGAAACTTTATAAAAACCACACAGCATATTAGTCACTTAACTCTCGCCACCTTACGTTTTTTTTTATCTTTTTAATAAGAATAATTCAGTCTTGGTATTTGTGAAGTCATTTTATAGCCTTACCGCTGTTTATCGATGAGTGTACGTTCTGCCATCTGTTGGTAATAATGTTTTAAATAATTGAATAGAGTTGTTTGTAACATTTGTTTAACTAACAAGTAAAAGCTTCGAATGGTCTATTCTTTCATTGGGGTGTGTCTATGAGCCAAACTAGTTTCGGAGAATTCCGCTCCTCATACAGTGACCCTGGACACTACCAACAATGAAATAACAGACCAAAAAAAAAGCCTTTATAGTAGTAGAGGTAT